CGGAAACAAACAGGTCTGACATATCAAATCTAATTTCTCTCGCATTAGCTCTAGTCTCCTCTGACCAATATAATCACAGATGCCTTTCACCATCTTCTGAAAGGCCTCAAGAATTTATGTTGTGTTCATCTCGAGAAACAAGAATACGATGAATAAGCTTTGATGGATGTTTTTATGTGGCTGGGTTTCAAGCATGTGCATTTGCTCAATGGACATTTATTGGCAGGTTCTCCGAATTTGGTTGGTGACCCAGAATCTCTCGTTTATAATAGCTGGATGCACAGTAATTGCATTACTGTTCTATCCAGAGTTGAAGTCGACAAATTTCACAGCGTTCATCTTACTTGTGATATTAACCAACCTCTCTGGAGCTGTTGGGGTGCTTTCCACTCTTGCCGGCACCATCCTAATTGAAAGAGAATGGTAATTAGAGGATCACGTTTGTACTTTGAAGAGAGAGAGTTTTACATTTTCTTATGTGATGATAGTTATTTTCAAAATGCAGGGTGGTGGTGATATCAGAAGGCCATCCACCTGGTGTTCTAACGAGGATTAATTCGATTATTAGACGAATTGATTTAACCTGCAAGCTTCTTGCTCCTGTTATTAGTGGCCTCATCATGAGCTTTGTATCTGTTAAAGCCTCTGCTATGACTTTAGCAATCTGGAACACTATAGCAGTGTGGCTAGAATATTGGCTTTTCACATCTGTACATAATGGCATTCCAGCTTTAGCTGAAAGTAGCCAAAGGAGGATTTCAAGACTTTCACGAAGTGATATGGAAGAGATCACGTCTATTTCTCCAGAAAGAGAGGGCTTGATTTCTCCAGGAGGCGAAAATTCGGTTTCGGTGGATTTGGGATGGAGAAGGAGATTAACTCAGAGCTTTTCAAAGGTTCCTTTTGTCGGTGCCTGGCTTGTGTATTTACAGCAAGATGTTCTGCTCCCTGGTGCAGCTCTGGCCTTGTTATATTTCACAGTGCTTAGGTAATGCCCCGGTTATGATTTTGTGATTATGACTAATAACTGAACAGCATCAGAGACTGTGACTACTGCCTGAGATACTGACCTGAGACATTTTTTTCTGTTGCTCCATTATCTCATATGATTTGGATTTAGTTCCTTACTGTTACAGCTTACTAGTGATTTCATTTTTCCAGCTTTGGCACCTTGATGACAGCTGCCTTGGAATGGGAAGGTATACCTGCATATGTGATCGGAATAGCCCGTGGAATAAGCGCTATGATTGGAATAGCCGCGACGGTTGTGTACCCAATCTTACAATCTCGTATTTCAACTCTCAGAACAGGACTCTGGTCAATCTGGTCTCAGGTACATTTCTTAGTAATTAAGATCATCTGAAAGTAATTCTGTCCACTAATCACTGTCCCTTCTCGTTATTCTGTGCATTGCAAGCAGTGGACCTGCCTTCTAGTGTGCATTGCTTCAATATGGGTCCAAAATCATCTTTTCTCAGCATACATGCTGATGGCTGGAGTAGCTATCTCTAGGCTTGGCTTATGGATGTTTGACTTATCTGTAATCCAACAAATGCAGGTGAGAAAACCTATCATGCTAAAAGAACAATGAATTCTGTTAGTGTTTTCCTAGATCAACTCTTTTCATGCCTGTTTATCGTGCCTTAAATAAGGCATGCTAATTAACTCTTTTCATTTTCGCCGGCACAGGATCAAGTTCCCGAGCATAATCGTCTGGTTGTGGGAGGTGTTCAGAATTCTCTTCAGTCTTTTATGGACTTGTTGGGTTATGTTATGGGCATAATCATCTCCAACCCTCGGGTAATCATCCTTGGATCATACATCTTTCAAGCATTAAACTTTCCTGTTTCCCTGGATATTTGAATCAGAATTCTTATCTTCCTTCCTGATTTCATGGTTTGATGTCTATTAACTTAACCTGCATTGTTGTTCAGGATTTCTGGGAGTTGATCATATTGTCCTTTTCAGCAGTAACAGTTGCTGCATTGCTTTACAGCATACATCTATATCGAGTTAGAAAGCACCTTTTTCACTTTGAGAAGTTGTTCATGTTGGTGAAATGGGAGATCATGTCACCTTCGCATCAAAATTTACTGGAACCAAATATTCCCAGGTAGGATTCATCCCTACAGCCTGCCGCTCTGACGCCAAGTTACTGAGATTCCTCAAAGATTAGGCCCCGGAATAACTTAACAAATACTTTGGTCTTCTGGGTGGGGATATTATCCTCCTTTTGTTGCTAGGAACAGCAGGGCAATTTATTAAATTTTGAGCAGTGGAAAATAAATAAATAATAGGAGGACAACAGAGCATATTGTGGTTCGACCATGGTGACCTACTAACATAAATCTGTAATAATGATTAATAAATAAATAAATTCAATTTTTATATATATATATATATATATTGGGACTTCACCGATCCTTTTTTATTATTTATCTGTGAAGAATTTTCACGGGATAGCTTACATGTCAAACGAGACTAGGTTTTTATTTTAGCAATTGCCAATTAAGCGAAGTTCTTATAATTTTATCAGTAACTATCCTTTTCTTTCTAAAAATTGTAATTTTTTATTTATTTTGAGAAAAAAATTAATTTATATTCTTTTAATCATATAAAAAAAGTAAAATATCAAATTAAGATATTTTAAATTTTAAATTTAAGAAAATAATTTTATTTGAGTTTTATATAATTACATTAATGAACCAAACACATTAATAATATATTAATATTATTTCTTTAAATAATCATATTTCTTGAGTATAGGATAACAATCTACAAGGGGCATCTAAAATTTATCTTACCAAACATTCTTTAAAGTGATTTTGTAGATATAATTAATAAAATTTGGCTAGTTGAATAGATTAATCCTGAAAATCAAGATTTAAAGCTCGATTGAATTTTTAATTAAACTAATCATTTAAATCCAATACTATTAACTATAAAAAATAAAATAAAATAAAGTATTAATTTTTTAAATAAAAACTATTGATTTAATAATTTAATAACTCATGTATTTTTTTTAGAAAGTTTTTAAAAGTAAAGTAATCATTACTTTTTAAAATAATTTTTACTTAGAAATATATCAAAATAACATATATATATATATATATATATATTAACATAGTATATGAAAATGTCATGAAACTATTAAAACAAAAAATTAAAGTAAAAAAATAATTTTTTTATAAAAATACTTTTAAAAAATAAAAAGAAGAGTAATTATTCCGTTGAAAAAGAAGAAAAAAATCCTGTATGCTTCTACGGCATGTGTCCTCGTCTCCGCTTCCAGTCCAGCAACCATCATTAAATGGTTTACAACGATCTAAAAATCATCTTCATGCATGGTCAGCAAAGCATCGCACTGTCCACGCCTTTGCAATTAACACAGTTACTTAGCACCATAATCAGGGCTAAAAGATTCAATCCTAGCCGTAGGAGGTTTGAAGGCGGGTGGATGTAGTGAAAAAATAATAATTAAAGAAACTGAAATAAAAAGAAGAGGATGGTGAGAGAGCCACGTCTTGATCAACAGCAACAACAAGAATCTTCTTCTTCCAAAGACTCTTCTTTGCCTACATCCCTTATCAGAATTTTGTATAGTGGCCACTTTTTAGCGAGATGGGATGCCAGGTTATATCGCAACTCCCTCGGCATATTTATCTTTTATCCTGTAGTTGCTAGCTGGCTCTCTATTGTGTGTATTGGTCTGTGGTTGTGTAAAATTGAGACTTTTCCCTTGTATTTTCTCAACTAAGATTTTCTTGATGAGGGAAAAGGATGACAGAATTAAGATTCTTTCATTTGTTTGTCTGTTTTTTCCCTTGAAGACCAAATTGGTGAGCTAATTCAGTGATCTGCCATCTTTCGCATGGACTGGATGATTGACACTTGCGACTTGGCATGTATTACTGTGAGAAATGAATCAGGGTTTCTTTTCATTTGAATTGCTTGTTTCTTATCTGCAGAATGTGGGAATTCTCTGTTGGTTTATACATGATCACTCTTTGGCCGGATTCTTTAATCCTTCCTGCTATTTATGGTGCCATTGAATGTGCTTCTACTGCATTGTTTGGTCCCATCATCGGACAATGGGTGCAGAGGTCGACATATTTTAAGGTTTGGTCATGCCTTGTTAATAATGCCCATCCTAATGGAAAAAAAATAAATAAATTGTGCTTTATAAAATTCACATTTCTAGATTGCCGGTTCCAAAATTGCGAATTTAATCAAAGTTTCTGGTAGTCTTAACCTCATACAATAGTACTAGGATTCGAATCATGATTGCTTCATCACTACCGTTGGACAGGTTGAATGCACCGTGTTCTTTTTATCGAATTTAATTGCCTTCAACATCAGTTCCTGTCTCCTCTGATGGTAAAATCGGGGATGCCTTTCAAGTAATCACCATCTG